CCAAGCCCACAGCAGCCCCAGGTCAGCTGTCCTGGACAACACACTCCACGTTTTAGTTTTTGGGGAACTTGATCTCCAAGGTGTCTCCAGTATTATGTAACCCCTACTTCCAATCAGGTCCAGGAGGCAGATGGCAGGAAGCGAGCTTCAAGACTGGCTCTGCGGGCCCAGGCCTCACAGGGATGGAGTAGCAGCCTCCTTCTCAATTATTCAGGAGTGTGGAGTGTGGGGGCAGTCTTCCAAAGCCAGACTGCAAGTTACCCGATGGGAGCCTACTTTCCCGTTCTCTCTCCTTTGTTGAAAGGCAGGTGTGCTGGAATAACCTACAAACTTCAGCCCACAGCACTGGACACTTTGTAAGGCTGTCACTTACTTGTGTGTGCTCATTCTTCAGGTCAAGACTGAAGGAGCCCCAGAAATAGAGGGAAGAGGACTCAAACCCAGCATGGCTCCAGGCCAGACAGCAGTGCACTTCTGACATGGAAAAGTTCAAGGGCTCCCAAGCTCAGCACTCACTGAGAAACTCACACACAGCAAAGCCTCGTGGGTGCTATGGCCACCACAAGCCCAGAACTCCACAGACCAAGGGCGGTGGCCAGTATCTATTGCCATCCTCGGGGCTCCTGAAGCCTTTCAGGCCACCCAGCACGTATATAAAAGCCTGCCCTTTGAAAAGGCTGTCTGTGGGCATGCATGCCTGGCTGTCCACAAAACATGTTTCACATCATGGACCTTTGTATTCTCACAGATGAGAGATTGCATCCACTCCCAATACCTACACAACTGTTTACTAATAACGCAACAGTTCATTTCTCTACATCTTGACACTCCTCTCCTTCTTATGGAATAAAAATTTTAATTAGTGCTATTCACAATGCCCTTTCAATCAAAGTCACAGAACTGCAACAACCTATGCCATAAGCCTGCTGCCCCATCCAGGAGATCCCAGTGAGCAAATGGATTTGAGAGGGCTTGGGGGGGAATCAGTGGAAGAGCATGTATGTGCTTAGCCCTGAGTTCAGTCCCACCCAAGCATCGGAGGGAGGGAGGGAGGGAGGGAGGGAGGGAAGGAGGGAGGGAGGGAGGGAGGGAGGGAGAGACAGGAAGGAAGGAAAAGGAACAAGCCAGCAGTTTCCCTGCTTTCCGAAGGCTAACCCAGACTACAATGTGACTGCACCGTGTCTAAAGGCTTGCACACAGACAAAGCCCAACAGTCCAGGATGGGTGAACTCCATCTCACCTAGCTACTCCCCATGACTGGTCACAAAAATGACCTGGGCTTAGATGAGTGGCCAAGGCAGAAAAAGCACTCAGTATCTTCAATCAACAAAATAGGAGTTCCTGGCCACAGCAGTTTCTGAATTATCACCCAAGTACACTTTGCAAGGCTGAGAGTCAATCTTTTCACACATCCATTTAGGAGACTGACGCTCTGGGATGAGGAGGACCAAGAGCAAGATGCTGGCAACAACAGTCCCTGAGGGCTACCAACCCTCCCACTTCAGGCTTGGCCTTCAATAATGCTCACTAAAAATGGACAACATGTCTCAGGGCCCATGAGCTAGGCGTGGTGGTACACAACTTTAATCCCAGCATTTGGAAGGCAGAGGCAGGTGGATCTCAGGGTTCAAAGCCAGCCTGTTCTATAGATCGAGTTCCAGGCCAGTCAGAGCTACTACATAGAGAAACATTGCCTCAAAACACAAAACAAAACAGAAACAACCAAACAAAAACCACATAGAGCTGGATATCTGCACCACTCCGTTTTCTGATGGTACAGGCAACACTACAGGGATGATCAATCAGCCTCTTCCTTGGAAGACAAAATAGCTACTCTTCACAACTACCTGTGAGCCTCCGGTCCTAAACTAACAGGACAAGACCAACAAGTTGGCTGTTAAGGACTCTCCTGTCTTTCCTAGGACACCTGACTCGTGCAGGACAACTCTACCCCTCAACAGTGTGAGCACATGGCTTATCTTCCCCAAGCCCAACACCACTGCAAGTTCAAGATAAGGGAAGATGTACAGGCTTGTGTCTGCTCAGTGAAGTTACTTCTGAAAATCAAGAGACTGGTAGCCTACTACAGCAAACAATCCATAATCTGCCTAGCAGAGAGACCATGATGGTCCTTTGGCCTGCTGGCCTAGGCTAGTGGGGATGAATGCAAGGCTGTGCTCTCGGCCTTGAGTGAAACTCACCAACGCTAAGGGACACAAACTCAAGGCACACTCTTCAGGTGCAAGTGTATCACTTCTGAATCGCCACAGGCCCCTGGCTTCACCTATCCTATGGCCCTGTACTGACCAGTGAGAGGGGTTCCTGCAATAGCCCCCCTAACTTTAAGGTGGCAGATACACAGCTTTTAAGTTCCTGTTTCTACACACAGACGGGAAGTTAGCTGTACACATAAACAGAGCACAAACTGCAGGGGACTGCTTCACTCAGAGATGGCATCTCCCGGTAGGGCACAAGGCGCCAATTCCAGCACTGGGCTGGTGGGGGCAGAGGCAGGCCTCCGAATCCCTCCTACACTCCTTTCTTCCACTCCTCATGTGAATCCCTCGGTGGGTTAAGAATCTCCTTCCAAAGAACTCACTCCGCTTGGGGTAGACAAGAGCAGTACAGCCAACTCAGAAACAGATAATCCAGTTCCACATGGCTTTCCCAAACTTGGAAAACCCGGTTCAACAGAGATAGGACTCCAACATGCCTAACTTCTTAGCATCATCCTAACCCTCCAAGCGGGGAGTAGGAGGGCAACTGTCGACTTCCTCTTTTAACACGCTGGCGGAGACCATCACCCTATCTGGCAAGCCTACCTCACGCAGAGTTCCCCTGCATGCCTACCCAGTCTCTTCCTTCCACTTCAGAGCTGTTTGTGAGGCATGTTCACGGGCATGATCTGCAAGATGGTGAAGGGCTTTCTACTATCCCTTCCAGTGAGCCCGGACGACTGTGAGGCGCCCAGGTCCCTTTACCCTTGTCACCTCTCCAGAGCATCCTTCGAAACAAGGGTGACGCTCCAAGGATGGAACACCATCCCTTTCTAAGGATTAACGGAGAATGGGGTCTCCTGCCTAAGCAGAGGGATGAGATGTACCAAAGAAAACTTCCACAAAGTTCTAGCAAGGATGCTGCGGACCCTGGGCCCTGCTCGCGCCGGCTCTGCGGGGCTTTTTCTGCAAGCTCAAGTTCGATGGCCGAGACCAGGGCTTACAGGAGGACCGACGCCCCCCCCACCGGCCCCACGCCGCGGCCACCCCAGGCAAACAAAGCCGAGCGCCGCTCTGCGGGGGGTCGCGGGTGGGAGGGGAGCCCCCGGGCGCGCGCGGGGGGGAGGGGGGTGCGGCTCCGGGGAGCATGCGCGCTCACACCCGCGCGGCCCCCACCATGCCCCGCGCGCACCGGCCGGCCGACCGCGCAGGCTGCCCATGGAGCATGCGCGCAGCGCGCCAGGCCCCGCCCCCCCGGGGCGCCCGAGCCGCAGCGGCGGGAACCTCAAAGCCCCGGCGCGAGCCGGCAGCTCCCGGAGGGTTGCCCTCCCCCGGAAAGCGAGACGCGGGGGGGGGAGGAGGAGGACGCACCCGGGGAAGAGCGACAGCCCCTGCGTGGCCACGCACGCCCGATTCCCCCGGCTCCGGGACCAGCTCCTCCCGAGGTCCCCGCGCGGCGTGGGGGGAGGGGCGGGGCGTGACCCCGCGGCGCCCCTCCCCCTCAACCGCCAACCGCCCGCGCCCCCGCCCCACTCACGACGCGCTCCTTCGTGTGCTCGGGTTCCGTGATAATCGCGGCCGCGCCGCCCGCCTTGCCCGCCGCCGCCGGCCTGGCCGCGCGCTTGCCGCCGCCGGGGGCCCCGTCCAGCTCCGGGCCATCCTCGTCGCCGCTGCTGCCGCCGCCGCTGCTACTGCTGCAGCGCTCGGGCCGCTCGCGCTTCCTGCCCGCGGGGCCGCCGCGCCTCCGAGGCCCCGCGCGCGCCGTGCCGTTGCCCGAACTCGGCTCCTCCCAGGCCGCCCCCTTCTTCCTGGGCATGGTCGCGGGCTGCGGAGACACGGGCGCACAATGCACGGGCTGGCGGCGGGGCGGGGGAGGGGAGCGCGGCGCGGCGTGGGCCGCCCCACCTGCTGCTCCCTCGCCCCTCCCCACGCCGCGCGCCACGCGGGGACCCCCCTCGCCCCAGGCCGGCCCCAGGCACCTGCGAGCACGCGCGGAAAGAGGAACTTTCGTGGGCCCCCGGCCCCCGCTGCCCCGCACTCGCCCCGTCTGCTTTTTTTTTTAATTGATTTTGAACAATGGGATCTCTGTCTGTCTCCGATTAAACCACGTGGATCCGCCTTCCTTCCCCTTCTTATTCATTCCGTTCCCCAACCCCCCCTTCCCCAGCGTTGTTTTTTTTTTTCCTAACCTTTTCGTGAGGTGGGGGGGAAGAGGAGGAGAAAAAAAAAAAGAGGAAAAAAAAAACTTTCCCAGACCCCGCAAACTGGTCCTTGTTGGTTTTCAGCCCCTACCTGGTTGGAGTGATGAGAAAAGGGGAAGGGGAGCGATTGAGAGACGGGTCGACGGCTTCCTCTCTCCCCGGCCGGGACGAGGGCTCCAGCCCACTCACCAGATACACTTAAAATGTAAATACGAGCTTCCAGAACAAATGCTACAACACAAAACAGAAACACATGTGCGGCCGGGCGGCAAGCGAGCGCGCGCGCGGCGGGCGGCGAGGGGCTCCGGGCGCGCACGCCCCCTACAGGCCGGAGGACCCCGCGGCCCGGCCACCCACCCGAGCCTGCGTCCCGGGCACCCGGCGCCACGCCGCAAGCCCCGCTGGGCCTGCCGCTATGCGCTCCGCACGCCCTTCCACGCAGCGCGGCCTGCGCGTCACAGGCGTCTTTGGGGCTCCGGAGAGTGTCAGATTCTCTTGTTTTTTCCTCTGAGCGTCTAGACAGGTCACCTGAGGACAGTCGCTGGAAAACAGTTCCTTTGCTCACGCAGCAGCCAACGAGGGACGTGCCCTAATTGAGTGATTGGAATGAAAGATGAATGCAATTTGAATAACTTTCTCCTATGCAGACAGAGGCTAGATTTTATACACCGTGGATGTGTCCCCAGGATGCAGCCGGGTGCTGTTGCGCGCTCAAGTTATATAAAGGTTTGATATACTAAGAACTTAGTAATTAGTCGGGGCTATGGGGGCATATGTGGACTTGAAACTACATGTGGCGGAAAGTCTGTCTTACTTCCTTCCCTTTCTTTTTTTCTTTCTTTCTAAGTATATTTACTGCGCCCCCAGTAAAAGCAAAACAAGATGCAAGGGTGCTAGATGGCGAAAACGTGGAGAACAAGATCTATGCCCAGTTGGAAGGCGGAGTAAGGAGGAAGACAGAAATAACTGAAAGTGTGGTACTTACCCCATTCCAGGATCAAGGAAGGCGTTTCCTGGACAAGCTAAGTTGAGCAATTTAAAAAATCCGACCTGCCAGAAAAGGGGTAGAAAGCATTTTCCCAGCCCCGTGGAGTAATGCAGGGATCCCGGAAGGGAAGTGGCCGGGGTGCCGGGGTGAGATTAAAGCGACAAGGCTGAGGAGTGAGGAGTTGACAGTGGCCATCTCACAGAACCGGGCTAGCAATGTGCAGGATTGCCGATTGGAGAAGGATCGACTTGGCTGCTACTAGGGGAAGGCTTGCATCACAGTATAACTCTCTTCTACATTTTTTTTACCCCTTTGGGGTTTTGTTTTGTCTCACATAGCCCAGGCTGGCCTGAAACTCACCATGTAGCCCAGGCTGGCATTGCACTTAATCATCCTTCCTCCACCTCTCAAGTGCCCGAGTTGAACGTTTCTTTTTTTTTAAGCAACTTCCTTGGTTGGCTAGAGAGTTCTAGGGTCTTTGCGGTTCATTCTTTATTATATCGAGAAGCAGGGGGGGGACGACACAAAAATATCTGAAGGCAAGCAGACTCCAAACGAACCAAATCTAAGTTATTTGATAATGTCACAAGTCTGTGTGTCCTGAGAGCTGGATACACTTATGTAAAACAACCCCGAAAATGAGCCTCAACTGGTGCATTACGGAGATACTCAGGTCAAGACCACATAGGAGCACCTTTTGAAAGCCTCTTAATAGGACAGGCATTCGAAAAGATTGAAGAGATAAAACCTTGAGGCTTTGATATAAAACATTAGAACCGACCAGAAAAGAATTCTGCCTTAAGTGTGCCGTCAGGTCCCGGTTTCAGGAAACGGCATGCTGGAGCTTGTCCGGGGGAGGTGGCTGGTTGGGCGTTTATCTTCCCGACAACACCCTGTGTGGCCAATTAGAAACGCTGAGGGCGCCTTTAAAAGGCTTTCAAGCAGCGAATGTCTCTTTCTTTCTCCTGCCCCATAATACTGCTTTCTGCCGGCGTAAAAGGCACATGCGTCAGAACCGCTGATGCAACCCGACGCTAATATCACGTTGCATCATCTGACCCAAGGTGTGGTACTTCCAAAACTGGTTTTTCCTGAGGCCGTCCTGAAGAAGAGCACTCGGGGGATAACACCCACCAACTGGCCCTCCTCAGCGGGCGATAAAAGTGTTTTCTGCCACTATATGCCTCGGTTCCACACTATTTCAGACCCAGGGAAAGCCCGAGTGACTCCCCTAACTGAGACGGGGGTGCAGACGCACACACTCATCAGCGATGCAGGTCGTCTGCTGCTCAGCTTATGTAACGAGTGTGACAGTGAGGTGCACCTACGGGGCAAGCTGGGAGTGCTCCCTCCAACCCCTACTCAAGCCTGGGAACTGTACTTCATTTTAGTTGAGCAGCTGCTCGTAGAGAGCAGAAAGGAGAGCAGGGGCTGAGACTTCTAGGCCCTTCTCTCTGGGCACAGGTGACTGGCCTCCGTTTGTACATGGAAGTGTGGCTATCTTGCTGGTAGCCTTTTCTGCTGCTCCTCAATAAAGGTTGGACTCAGCGACAGCCAGAACCCCTCCCAGAGGTGCGATTCCATGCAGCTCAACCTCAGAAAACTCCCCCTAGTCAAGTCTACAGTCTCATTTACATAAAAACGAAGCCAGCCACTAGTGGCAGAAACAGTTTTGGTTTTAGACCAGGTCGCAAGTATTGCAGGCTAGCCTCGAACTCACAATGTAACCAACGGTGCCCTTCACTTTGATTCACCTGCCTCACCTCTGGAGTGTTGAGATTACAGACATGGAGGACCATCATAGTCCATTTGTGTGGTGCTGGGACTTGAATCGGGCTTCATACATGCTAGGCAAACACTCTACCCACCAATCCACACTGCCAGCTCCAGACAGAAAGGAATTCTGATGGTCTGGGTAGGTCCAATTGGACCACAATAGAATGATACACAGTCTGCCTGTACTGTTGTACCAAGAAGCTAAAAGCTACTGGACCCTTGAATATGGCAGGTCCATGCTGCAATTATAGCATAAACACACTGGATTTGTTTGTTTCATTTGGGATTTTTGTTATTGGTTTTGGTTTTTCCTTTGTTCTTGAAGCAGGATCCCACCATGTAGCCCAGGCTGGCTTTGAACTGGTATCCTATTGCCTCGCCCGCAGAATGCTGGTATTATAGGCTTGTACCAACATACCCAGCTCACACTACACTTGAAGACTCAGAGCAAACAAAACAAAACCCCCGGGACAGATGCCATGAGCCGTTTTATTACGTTAATATGGGCACGATGGTGTGTAGCTATGTCGTCCCAGCTACTTGGGAAACTGAGGCAAGGGGGATCAGAAGTTTGAAACTAGCTTGGGCAACAGAGAGACCTCATATAAGAAGCAAATAGAGTTGGGGATACAGCTCAGCAGTAGAGCACTTGCCTGGCATGAGAGGCTCTGGGTTCAATCCCCGGCACACCCAGAAATAAAGGATAAGCTTGGTATAGCAGCACACACCTAAAATCCTAGCACTCAGCTAGCTAAGACAGGGGGATTGCTACGAGTTGAAGGCCAGCCTGGTCTACAGAGTGAATCTCAGATCACCCTGATATGCATACACCCAGAGCCTACCTCAAAAGTAAACTCAAGCTGGGGCTGGAGAGATGGCTCAGTGGTTAAGATTGCGTACTGCTCTCACAGGGGCCAGAGTCTGGCTCCCAGCACCCCACTCAGTAGCTCATGACTGCCTTGTCTAGCTCCAGGCCAGCCAACAATGCCTCTGGTGTACAAACTTACTCAACCACATACTAAAAATTAAAAATAAATCTGTAACACTAACAAACAAGTAATAACAACAACAACAAAAATGGCAGGCCAGATGTCTTAACAGGTAAAGGCTCTTGCAAGCATGATGACCTGATAAGTCTTAGGACCCACGCACAACCCATGGCACATACTCACATCCTACGTGTACCCTGGATAGTAAATTTTAAAACGGTAAAGCCAAATAATACTTAAAATAGCATTGATTCCACACTGAAATAATATCTTGCCTATCTAGGGTTAATATACTAAAATATTCTTTTTCTTTCTTTTGTTTCTTTTTTATTTATTTATTTTGAGAGACAGGGTTTCTCTGTGTATCCCAGGCTGGTCAAACTCAGAGGACTGCCTGCCTCTGCATCCTGAGTGCTGGGATTAAAGGCACAGCCACTAGGCCTGACTTATATCATCTTTCTTTTTGGGGGGTGGGGAGGAGACACATGCCAACAGGCCCCAGTGAGATCAGAGAACAACTTGCAGGATGCAGGAGGTGGGTCTCCTACCGTACAGTGCCCAGGGACAGACCTTAGGCCTTCAGGCTGAAGGCAGGGGCTGTAGCCCACCAAGCACTCTAACCTGCCCAGGAAGTTCACACTCACTGAGCCACACTGCCTCTGCGGGCACAACTGGAAAGCCAGTAGATGAATGAAAAAAATGAAATAGAAGAAGGAGGACGTGGCTGCTCCTAAAGTATGAGGATTTATCTATCTATCTATCTATCTATCTATCTATCTATCTATCATCTATCTATGTATCTCTCTATCATCTATATATCTATCTATGTATCTATTTATGTATGTATCTATCTATGTATCTATCATATATTTATCTATTTATCTATCTATCTATGTATCTATCTATCTATGTATCTATCTATCTATTTATTGGTTATTTGAGACAGGGTTTCTCTGTATTGCTTTGGAGGTTGTCCTGGAACTTGATCTTGTAGACCAGGCTGGCCTCGAACTCACAGAGATCTGCCTGCCTCTGCCTCCTGAGTGCTGGGATTAAATACGTGCGCAGTTTTTTTTTTATTGTATATGTAAAGAGAAAACAGGCAGAGGGAAGAGCCCAGGCTGAACTTGGCCTGCAGACTGAACCCAACCCCCAACCATGAGTGGGGAGAGGGGCAAGGGAGGAGCCACTGAGCCAAGAGGTGGCAGCCAAAAGATAAAAGGGCCAAAAAAGCCACCACATAGCCAAAATGGCTGAATTATATAGAGAAGAGTAGTTCGGGGTAGGGCAGGTGCAGCCCAGTCTCTGGGCTGAAGAAGTTTAGGATAGGGGGTGGGGTGTGCCAGCCAAGGGGAGCCCTGAACAGGTAGGAATTGGGGGATACTGGGAGGATCTGGCCTCCAGGCCTGCTTTGATGTGTTAATAGACATCTCCGCCGTTTGTCCTGGGTTTGAGATCCACACAGCCTTTGCAAGCACAACTGGAAAACCAGTTGGTTGATGTGGAGTCCAGACTTTCTGCTTCCTGTCTGGTTTCCCTTGTCAGTAAAATGACAACACTGAGCTGGGGTTTCCTTCTGAATTTACTATTTCCTCATACCCAGATCTGTAGGTAGTGAATCCTAAGGTCCTGCTCTAGGGCCTGGAGAGATTGTTCAGCACTTTAGACTGTTGGCTCTTCTAAAAGACCTGGTTCGATGCCCATCACTCACATTGTGGCTCACAATTGGCTGTAACTTCAGTTCCAGGTGATCCAACACCCTCTCCTGGCCTCCGTGGGCATCAGAAATGCATGCCCCATGGTACACAGGCATACAGACAGGCAAAACATCATACACATAAAAATAATTGAAATAAAAGAACAAACTATTCTATTTCTGTCAGTGAGTCATGGAATTTTAGAATCCAAAAGGTCTTTAAATGTTACAGCTGGACCTCTGAGTCCCCAGCTGGACCTCTGAGTCCCCAGCCTGGCAGCTATCCTGGGTTCAGCCTGTGGTTTTTTGTGTGTTATCTAGTAAACGCCCAGGGCAGCTGGCATGCAGGAAGTTGTCTACATTTTCCTGCTGACCTAAATAATATCCAGAAGAAGGAATGGAAGCTCAGAGAAGCTCTTAGGGCACTTAGGGCTGCACAGCTGGCTGGTATGACAGGCAGGAGGATCGGGGCGTCTCAACTCAGGTCAGGAAGCTGGGGTGACCCCAGGGCCAGCAGCGTCAGCCTCCCTTGGGAGTTTCTTAGAACCCACCTTACTAAAACAGAAACTGCAGGGGCGCGAGAGATGGCAGCAAGCACTTAAAGCATGCATTGCTCTTCCCAATACCCACGTGGTACCTGCCACAAGCACGTGGCACCCTTCCATACAAGGAGGCAAAATACCCAGGCGCGCAAACTAAAGGCAATAAGTATTTGAGAAAAAGAAAACAAGCTATTTTTCGTTTGCTTCATTTTTAATTTTATCCTCCTTTATTTATTTTGAGACAGGGTCTCACAATGCATCCTTGGCTGGCCTGGGACTCACTTTGTAGACCAGGTTGGCCTTGAATTCACAGAGATCTGCCTGCCTCTGCCTCCTGAATGCTGGAAGTGCTACCATACATGATTATAATTACGATTTTAGCTGGGTGTGGTGGCATACTTCTTTACTCCCAGTACTCAGGACACTGAGGCAGGCTAATTTGTGTGAATTCCAGGTTAGCCTGGTCTACAGAATGAGTTTTGGTACAGCCAGAGCTGTTATACAGAGAAAACCAGTCTCAAAAAACAAAAGCAAATAAATAAAATAATTATGATTTTTAAAGATTTATTATTTTTATGCATATGAGGGGTTTTCCTGCATGTATGCCAGTACTCACAGAGGCCAGAAAAGGGTGTCAAATTCCCTAGAACTGAAACTATAGACCTGTGAGCCTCCATGTGGAGTGCTCAAATCCGGGTCCTCTGGAAGAGCAGTGAGTGCTCTTAACTGCTGAGCCATCCCTCCAGCTCCCTCATAACCATTATCTTTTTAATAAATATGTACCCCTTAGACTGACCTCCAATTCACCATCGCAGCAAGGGTGACCTGGAACTCCTGATCCTCTTGACTTTTCCCCACAACTGCTGGCATAATGGGTGTGCATCAACATGCTTAGCTTGACTTTATTTTCCTGTCTGCAGTGATGGGGATCCTACAGACGGACTGGGACTTTTTTTAGCATCCGATGTTAGCTGGACACTTGGTTCGGGAAGGAAGGAAGGTTCAAGGTCTTCCTTGGATGCATACATCCTGAGCTACATGAGGTCCTGTCTCATAAATAAGAACCCAACGAGGAAAAAGAGAAAAAATAAGCAATGAAACAAACAAAAGGATGTACTCTATCACTGAGCCAGGAAAATGCATCTTAAACACATATCCCAGGAGACTTTTCTGCTTCCCAAAGTCTGAGAAGTGCCACCTGCTCGTCCCTTTTCCTCAAGGAAGAGCGCACTTTTTCATCCTTGGGGTGTTTGTCCCCTAGTTCGTGGAGAGGAGCTCTCAGCTAAAGGACATAGGACTCACGAAGCTGCACAGCGAGGGCTCTGGGCTAAGCCAACTCAGTGAGCATTTGCCGGCATCCTCACGTCTGAGCCGCATCCTGTTTTGAAGGTAAGAACAGTCCCAAGGGCTGGAGAGGGCTCTTGCAGTCCTGCCACCTCGTCTTCAAGGATTAGGCAAGCACTTTGCAATTGTGCCCTGACAGGTTTTACCGTTTCCCTTTTAATAGAAGAGAGGCCAGGAGAGATGTGAAATGAGAATGGGCTCATCTGGGGAATCAAATGTAATTTCTCCAATCCCGGAAACCTGGATCGAAATCAATTCAATCAACATCCGTGGTTAGTTTGCAAGCCACCAGTGACTCCCCATCCTGACCCGTGTTTGCATTCTTGACAGAGCCACAATCTGCAGAATTGGTCTGTAATCAATAGCTCACCATCATTCTAGAAGACTGTCTGCCACTCAAGTTTTCAGGTAACAGACATTCTCTGTTGAGTCTATTTTCCCTGTCGGAGGACAGTACAGATACTGCAATTTTTGTTTGTTTGTTTGTTTGTTTCTTTCTTTCTTTCTTTCTTTCTTTCTTTCTTTCTTTCTTTCTTTCTTTCTTTCTTTCTCAGTGTGGCCCAGGATGTCTTGGAACTCACTTAGGCTGGCCTTAAACTCCCAGAGATCCGCCTGCCTCTGGGATTAAAGGTGTGTGCCACCACTTTGAGGCAAGATCTCATTTAGTGCAGGATGGCCTCCAGTTCACTATATAGCCAGGGATAGTTTTTTGTTTTTTGTTTTTCTCCTTGAGACAGGGTTTCTCTGTGTAGGTTTGAAGCCTGTCCTGGGACTCACTCTGTAGACAGGCTAGTCTTGAACTCACAGAGATCTACCTCCCTCTGCCTCTGAGTGCTGGGATTAAAGTCTTGAACTTGTGGTCATCCTGTCTCCACCTCCTAAATTCTGGGGTTACAGGCCAATGCCACCACATTCAGCTAGTCATGCAGGTTTGAAACAAGAGAAAGACTAATTAGGCTCTGGTGGCTCAAGCCTGTGATTCCATCATTTTGGAAGCAAAGGAAGGGAGATAAGGAGTTCTAGGCTGGGCTACGCTACAAAGCAAGTCTCAGGTCAGTCCAAGCTATATTAGCAAGACCTACTGAGGTTGTAGAGGAACAAGGCACGAAGGAATTGTGGGGTGTCTTACAGACGTCCTCTCAATGTCAACTGTGAAATGAACCAAGCCAAGCACCTTTCAGGTGAGGAGGTTGAGAGCCACTGGGCAAGAGAAATGGCTTTATCCAGCGTGGTGTCATCTCACTCCCCTAAATGTTACAACCAAACAGAAAAGATACAGCCTGTTTAAGGCAGACTGGTAGTCTTGGTGATTGTGGTAGCCCTGCTGGCTCGGAGATCTTGCACTACAATCTGTGTTATGTCATACAAAACTATAATCCTTTCAAAGTGGAAAAAGAAAACTGTTGCTACAGGAGGCCCTGGCTTCCATTTCTGTCACTGTCAATCAGGAATGGTGACATATACTTGTGATTCCAACACTCTGAAGTGGGGGGTAGAAGATAAAAAAAATCCTAAGTTATACTCCACCCCTAGCTACAAAGCACATTTAGGCCAACCCATCTAAAAAAGTAAGAAAAGCAAGCCGAGGCGTGGCAGCACACGATTTTTATCCCAGCATGCAAGAGGCAGAGGCAGGTGAACTCTGTGAGTTCCAGGCCAGCCTCATCCACACAGCAAGTTCCTGGCTACCAGCCCTAGCTACATAGTGAAACCATATCCAGAGACAGAGAGAGAGAGACAGAGTGCTGGGCAGGGCAGTGGTGGCACATGCCATTAATCCCAGCACTCGGGAGGCAGAGGCAGTCAGATCTCTGAGAGTTCAAGGCCAGCCTGGTCTATAGAGAAAGTTCCAGAACAGCTAGGGCTGCACAGAGAAACCCTGTCTTAGGGAAAAAAAAGCAACTAGAGGAAGAAAAGCACATTATTAATCTCATGAGAAGTCCCCACAACTCTAAATATCCAGGCTAATTCTAAAACTCACCAAATAGGCAGCCCGGTGAAAGGAGGAAAGACATTCCTACATTTGTTCCAAAAACACGGAACTTTTACTGTGTGCAGACATGACAAGGCTTGTTTGAGTTGAGGGTGTGGCTCCGTGGTACAGTGCATGCCCTGGACTCCATCCCTAGTACTGCTACGGAAAAAAAAAAGAGATGTAAGAAGATGAAAGTTCTTCTACAGCCTGATATGGCTATGGTCCCACTATGAGTTTGCTTAGGGTCTACCCCAGGAGTACAGCTCAGTACACAGAACATACTCAAACGCATGAAGCCGTGGTTCCACCCTAATGCAGCAAAGAAAAGATAGGAAAAGAAAAAAGGGGCCAGAAAGATGGCTCAGCAGTGAAGAGGGCTCCTCCAGAGGATGGGAGTTCAGTTACCCAACACCCACTTTGGGCGGTTTACAACCACCTGCTAACTCCAGCTCCAGGAGACTGACAGCCTCCTCTGGACTTCTCTGATATTACACTCATATGCACAACTCCCTGCCTCCACACACATACATACACATATGATTCACAATAAAGCAAATATGTTTTAGCTTTTATTTTTCACTGCATGTGATGGGTGTTTTGCCTACATTTATGTCTACACCGTGCATGTGAGTGCCCAAAAAGTCAGCACTTGGGAGGCAGAGGCGGCAGATCTCTGAGAGAGTTCCAGGACAGCCAGGGCTACACGTTACATGGAGAAACCCTGCCTTGAAAAACAAAACTTAAAATAGTAATAATAATGACAGTTATAGCCCGGTGGTGGTGGCACACACCTTTAATTCCAGCACTTGATCTCTGTAAATTCAAGGCCACCCTGGTCTATAGAGTCAGTTCTAGGACAGCCAGGGCTACACAAAGAAAAACAGTTATAGGTCTTGTAAATGTGGAAGATGGTTTATACACAGGGGATTGGATGCTGCCTGATGCCTCTCCAAACCCTGATACTCTCCCATCACCTTATGACCCCTGACCTCTGTCTAGAAGCAGCTCCTGACTGGCAGAGTGACTCATGCAACAAAACCTGAGACCTGTGTTTGATCTCTGGAATCCATGTTGATGAGGGGCAAACTGAGTCTCACACACAGTGTTCTCCAATATCTTCACGCTCAACTCACCCAGTGTCATTGCATGCACGGGGTAGTGCACACACATATAAATTAAAAATTTAAAAATAAATACAGAAGCCAGGCGGGGATGTCAAATGCCTTTAGTCCCAGCAGTTGGGAGGCAGAGGCAGGTGGATCTCTGTGAGTTCGAGGCCAGCCTGGTCTGCAAAGCTACCAGCCTGGTCTGCAAAGCTACACAGAGAAACCCTATCTCAGAAAAACCAAAAATAAATAAATAAATAAATAAATAAATAAATAAATAAATAAATAGATAAATCCAGAAGCATCCATCATGATGGGGAGATGGAAGGAGACAAGAAAGTAGGCTGCTCTTCATACACTGACTCACACAGATCTGCACCCCATGCATAGAAGACCTGTTGGCGAGTTAGTGCACAGCCTGTCACAGCCTGGAGCTATGGGGCCTCAGGAGCCCCTGCAGCGGGAAGTGGCCTCTCTGGAGCGTGCATGTAAAGTAAAGCTGCTCATTTGGAGAAGTTCTCTTTCTGGCTGGACTCTAACCCCTCCTCAGAGGGACAGAACCTCAGAGACCAGGGGAAGCCCCGCTGGCTCCAGTGAGCCCAGAGAAGGACCATGTGTCCACTCCCTGGAGCCTGCGGCTCGGTGCCCTCCACTCTGCCTGGAGCCACTCTGCCAGCTAAACCACTCATTATTTTTTTTTAATCTACTGGATACTTTAAATAACTGTTATTACACACAGTGTTCAAAAGAGTCCATTTATTACCAAACCTCATTAAAACTGCCTGCCTATGGGGAAAGCCTGTGACTGTACGGGGAAGCACTCCCTCCACAGATCACCACCCAGGGCCCTTGCCTGCTGAGGAGGGTCTCAGTGCCACGCAGCAGGGGTGAGCATGGGCGCAGCTAAGGTCAGAGCAGGGCTGGAAGGGTAGTAAGTGAGACACGGAGGCGGGGCACAGACTCCAAGTGCCCTGGCTCAGGCTCGGCCACCCGCTGTGTGTTCTTGGTCAAGTTAAGCTGCTTCTCTGTGCCTTGATTCCCTCTGCTGTCTGTGGAATGATCTACCAAGGTGCCTCTGAAAAAACAGAATAATCTAGATGTTACACGATGGCAAATTGAAAGTAGCGTAGCGATAAAAAAAAAGTGTCATGAACCACATGGGATCAAAATGGGTGGGAACTTCATGGCTTCCCATGAGTCCTGCTTCACATCTGACTCTTCCATGGCTCTGTAAAGGGGGAATATGGACCCTTGCTGTGCCAACTACCTTTGATCTAAAAAAAAATCGTTAGGGGGCCTGGAGAGATGGTGCAGATTGTAAGAGCTCTGGCTGCAAGCCGTTGCTCTTTTGGAGGACACAGGTTCAATTCCCAGCACCCACTGACGGCTGCCAACCATCTGAAACTCTAGTTTCAAAGGATCTGATGCCCTCTTCTGACCTCCATGGTCTCCAGGCATGCACATACATTCAAGCAAAATATTCACACGCAGAAAAAAGAAAGCCAGGCAAAATGGTACAAGTCTTTATTTAATTCCAGCAGCCGGGGAGCCGAGGGAGGTGAACTTTTTAGTTTTGTGATTTCAAGACCAGCCTGTGCTACACAATAAGACACCCCCATCTCAAAAACTAACTAAAAAAATTAACCTTTTCTAATTTTCTTACAGTTGTGTTTGTTTAGCTCTTTATTTATTTATTTAGTTTCGAGGCAGGGTTTCTCTGTATTGCTTTGGAGGTTGTCCTGGAACTCACTCTATAGACCAGGCTGGCCTTGAACTCACAGAGCCACCTGCCTCTGCCTCCAAGTGCTGGAACTAAAGGCATGCTTCACCATCCCCAGCCTTCTGGGGTCTTGTAGCCCAGGCTGGAATTAAACTCCTAACCAGCCTTAGGAGTGCTGGGACCACAGCTGTGTGACACCACCACTAACTCCAGATTCTGTTTGATGGAAACGCAGCTGGTATGCTTAGTGTACCCAGCTTGTTACCTCCTGGTCCACAGGGTCTCCTTCCCAACTCTTTTTGTGAGGCTCCTCTGAGTGAAGTCGTTTCTTTTCTTTCACAAATGACACCCCAGGCCTTGTCTGTGCCTGAGGGAGTGGAGCCTGACGGCACACTGGAGAACTGTAGTTTGCTGCTTGTAGGAGGGGGAAGGGTGGAGATACTGGTAGGAGTGGCCAAGAGAGAAGGCCTGCCAGCCTTGGGAGGAGGCTCCAAACTGGGGAGACTCCCATACGGGCTCCGGAAGACCTTGTCGGTGGTGTAGATGAAGAACTTGCAGAGGGCATGAGCCCCTACCCACCAAAAACCTCTTCAGTCAGAGTGTGTATACTAATGAGGTCCCCTCTCCAGCCTTTCTGACTTTTCTTCCCTTGGTAATTGGTGTTGTCAAGT